TTCGAACATTTCTTCCAGTTCTTGTCTTGTTTGTTTCTATTTTACCTTTTACGATTGAAAAAGTATTTTACTAAAGAAAGAAAGAAAGAAAGAAAGAAAACCAGTGTTCAAAATCCAAAGAGTTGTAGTGACTCGCCATTGTCGATTTTGTTGTTATATATTCCAGAAATTTTTACCTGTATTTGGATTGGAAGTAGTCTGTGGCAGATATGAATAGAATATGTATGGCAATCTTGGAATTTTCTCTTTGATAAATTTGCCTGAGTTTTTGAGCTCTCTGTGTTAGAAGAAAGTGATACCTTATTTCACAAATTTCAATGTATTGTGTAGCATTTATTTCAAATGTGCATTAACTGTCGTCTTAAGAGTTAATTGCAGGTTTTGTGGAACACAACTGACATTGAACTGCCTCTATATATAGCTAACCTGTATGATTATTTTCTGAATGGTTAATCCCAGGTGTGGCTGTGGTTTGTTAATTTTTGGTTTCACTATAGTGTCTCCTATTTTCAGATGATAGAACGAGCGCTCCAGGAATTGAATGAGAAATGGGGTTCTAGCGAGGATTCCATGTCGAAGTTTATCAAAAAAGAATATAAGAATTTGCCATGGGCGCACTCGACATTACTGAAACATCATCTTGGAAAACTTCGTGAATCTGGGGAAGTTGTGACTCGTGGCCAGAGATATATGCTTGCTGGTGCAATTCCATATCTGAATTCAAGCACAAGACATAAGAGGAAGAAAAGAAAGAAGAAATGGAAACTGAACTGGGACTGGAAGAGGGAACTATACAAGCCGTGTAAGAGACGTGAGTCTAAGCAAAAAAATCTGCAAAAAGGAGATCAAGATGAAGTAACTGAAGACCAAAAGGAATCTGAAGGCCTAGAAAATCATTTGAGTGAAAATGCAATGTATGGGGAAGAGGAGCAAAAAGAAGAGGATAAGGAAGAGAGGTTGCTATCATCCAACATTAGAGAAAGTAATGATGATTTTGATCCCAGCCTTTTGTCCACTGAACCTCCCAGTAACATGGAATTCTATGAATACAAGTATTTGGAGAAGGTGAAACCACAGCAGCAAGAAGGGGACAAAGCCGAAGATCTCTCTCTTGAACTTTCAAGTCAGAAGCCTCCGGGTTTCGAGTCAATAAGAGTCGAGCTTCCCAGTAGGATGGAATTTGATG